CCCTCCCTGCCCCTGTCTGGGCTCTTACTACTGTAGGCCACAGTTGGGCAGGAAGCGGACCTTATGGAGGCCTCCCAGTTTGGGAGGCCCAGACTCTAAATCTCTGTGCCCTACCAAAGGCGCTTGCCCTGTTGTGCTACCTGCCTTGAGCATTTGACAACATCTAGGTGACTCAACCCAGGGGACTCTAGCAAACAGAGAGCCTAGGAGCCAGGTTTCCATCTGGCTTGGACTTACGAACATTCTGTGCAGATGTTCCCAGAGCAGAGGAGCTCTGTCACACTGTCCTGCCTGTTTTGGAGCCTTGCTAGTGGGTCAGGCGGGCAGGCCATGGTTCAGGATGTGATGGCCACCCCCTCCTGGGGGCAGCAAAGGACATGTGGCTTTGGGAGCAAATAGGATCAGGAAGACCAGAGAGCCTGGGTGTAAAGGGCTTTCACAGTGCAGGCAGGTGGGGAAGGTGGCTTCCCTGACGCATGCTTTGTTTGCAGCAGGCTGTTTGTTAGGCACACACAGTGAGAGCAGGAACTGCGTGCTCTTAGGCAATCAACTGAGGATTTGGGGATAGTGGCCAAAAGAGTCTGATGGGAAGCCGGGTTCTAGTCCCGTCTGCCATGCACAGGCTCTATGGGCCTGAGCCTCAGTTCATCCTTTCTTCCCTCCCTCCTTCCTTTCTTCCCTAACTCCATTTTTCCTTTGGAACAAAAATCTCTCTATGTAGCCCAGGTTGCCCTCAAACTGGCAATCCTCCCGCCTCCGTCTCCCAAGCACTGTACCAATTAGTCTAACATCAGGGAAGTTTGACTAGTTGATCCAGGAAGCAACTGTGCTTTCTGGGGAAAGAGCTCAGCTTTGGGACAGCCTAGACTAGCTGGGTTAAAACCCCAGCTACATTTCCCCTAAGCCAATGACCTTGAGCAGGTTACCCAATCCAAGCTCTGTCATAGTTGGAGCTCTGCCTCCTGCTGTTCAGAGTTCAGATAAGATGATGCAATCTGTTTGACACACAGTAACAGCAGTTTCTCATTCCCAGTTACCAGCATCAGGGAAACTTTGTTCTACACAGTTACAGAGGACTTCCTCTGCCTTGGTGAGAAGTGCTCCTTCCTTCTGCACCCAGGCATCCTCCCATGTTGGTAGCATCTGGTGCTCGTCATTGCTGTTGGTATATAATTCAGCAACAGGGAAGGAACTCAAGCAGCGTGTGTGTGTGTGTGTGTGTGTGTGTGTGTGTGTGTGTGTGTGTGTGTGCATACAGCAGATACGTATTCATATATACACAGGTACACATGTATGCACCTGCATGTGAATATGTGTGCATTTGCATGTATGGAGAAGGTCAGTGGTCAGCCTTGTCTCATCCCCTCATCCTGTCTCTCTCCTTCTTTCTTTCTTTCTTTCTTTCTTTCTTTCTTTCTTTCTCCTTTTCTTCTTCTTCTTCTTCTTTTTTTTTTTTTTTTTTTTTTTTTTGAGATAGTCCTTCACTAGGACCTGGAGTTCATGGATTGAACTAGCTTGGATAGAGCAAGGCATTGGTGGCACATGCCTTTAATCCCAGCACTAGGGAGGCAGAGGAAGGCAGATCTCTGTGAGTTCGAGGCCAGCCTGGTCTACAGAGCTAGTTCAGGACAGCCTCCAAAACAATACAGAGAAACCCTGTCTCGAAAAACCAAAAAAAAAAAAAAAAAAAAAAAAAAAAAAAACTAGTTTGGATAGCCAGAAAGCTCCAGGGATCCTCTGGTCTCTACCTCCCCGGTGCTGATACTAGAAGCACATACCACCACACCATCTTTTTTATATTTTTTTATTTAAATTATAAACAATTTTGTTTTACATGTCAATTCCAGTTCCCTCTCCCCTGCCCCCCACTGACCTTCATCCCATCCCCTTTCTGCTTCCCAGGGAGGATGAGGTCTTCCATGGGGGATCTTCAAAGTCTGTCACATTATTTGGAGCAGGGCCTAGGCCCTTTCCAGTGTGTCTAGGCTGATAGAGTATCCCTCCATGTGGAGTGGGCTCCCAAAGTCCATTTGTACACTAGGGATAAGTACTGATCCACTACCAGAGGCCCCATAGACTGCCCAGTCCTCCTAACTGACACCCACATTCAGGGAGTCTGGGCCAGTCCTATGATTGTTCCCCAGCTGTCAGTCTGGGGTCTATGAGCTCCCCCTTGTTCAGGTCAACTGTTTCTGTGGGTTTCTCCAGCCTGGTCTTGACTCCTTTGCTCATCACTCCTCCCTCTCTGCAATTGGATTCCAGGAGTTCAGTTCGGTGCTTATCTGTGGATGTCTGCTTCTGCTTCCATCAGCTATTGTATGAAAGCTCTGGGATGGCATATAAGGCAGTCATCAATCTCATTATAGGGAAGGGCATTTAAGATAGCCTCTCCACTATTGCTTAGATTCTTAGTTGGGACCATTCTTGTAGATCTCTGGACATTTCCCTAGTGCCAGGTTTCTCTTTAGACCTACAATGGCTCCTTCTATTATGGTATCTCTTTTCTTGCTCTCCTGGATCCCCCCATTCAATCTTCCTGCTCCCTCATATTCTCCTCTCCCCTCAACTTCTCCCCTTCTCTTTCTCTTAATTCCCTCTCTCCTTCCCCCATGTTCCCAATTTGCTCAGTAGATCTTGTCTCTTTCCCCATCTCTGGGGGACAATGTATGTCTCTCTTAGGGTCCTCCTTGCTTCCTAGCTTCTCTGTCAGTGTGGATTGTGGGCTGGTATTCCCTTGTTCTATGTCTAGAATCCATATATAAGTGAGTACATACCATGTTTGTCTTTTTGTGACTGGGTTACCTCACGTGGGATGGTTTCTTCTAGTGCCATCCATTTGCCTGTGAATTTCAAGATTCCATTGTTTTTTCTGCTGAGTAGTACTCCGTTGTGTAAATGTACCACATTTTCTCTATCCACTCTTCAGTTGAGGGGCATCTGGGTTGCTTCCAGGTTCTGACTATTACAGATAATGCTGCTGTGAAAATAGTGGAGCAGATGTCCTTGTGTGAATGTGCATCTTTTGGACACGCTCTTTTTACATGGGTGCTGATAACTGAACCCAGGTCCTCACACTTGTGTGACAAGCTCTTTATCCACTGAACCTTCTTCCTGGCTCCTCAAGCAGAGCTCTTCCAGACTCTGGTCTGGTCCTAACTGTTCAGTGCCTTCCACTGCTGATGGCGGGCAGGTGGCATGGCCGCTCACTGAGTCCCTCAGCAGCCCTGAGACCACCCTGTAGTTGGTCCATGTGGCATGTCATAGATAAGACAGCAGTATCCAGATAGCCTTCCCACAAGGGTCAGAGCAGAAAATACCAGTGAGGTGGACTTTGGATCCTGGGCGAAGCTCCTCCCAGGTGCTGCCTGACTCAGACTCTCAGAGGGGGAGATCTTGTGTCATTCCCACCTGACAGGAATTGTGCCTGGAATAGGAGCTGCCACTAGAAGATCAGCCTCCAGCGTCCCCTCAGTCGACCTGAATCGATGGAAGATCAGATGGCCCAGGCTGGCAGGACAAGGAGATGCCAGCGCAGTGACCCAAGCAGGGATTTCCTGTCTAGAGGAAGTGGGAGTCAACCCAGGCTGACTCACCTTCCTTCCAAGGCTCTGGATGGGAAGGAGCCTCACGGAACCTTTCTCCCCAGCTGAGCCTCGATTTCTGTCTTCTAGCAAACTGCCCTCCGTGCTCCCATCCCAATTGCTGCGTTTATAACAAAGTCATTGCTCGCAAAGGTGCAAGAGAGATCCCTTATAGGGTTATAGTATGATTAAAGCCACAAGGGTGCTTAGACGGTGTGGTGGCGCACACCTTTAATCTCAACACTCGGGACGCAGAGACAGATGGGTCTCTGAGTTCCAGGACAGCCTGGTCTACATAGTGAGTTCCAGGACAGCCAGGGCTACATGGAGAAACCCTCTAGATACAACAAGCAGGGAGGGGCAGATGGTCCCACCACTAGGCTGGATATATTAGCTGCCCCGGCTTTTCCAGACTTCACTGTGACAGGGGACAGCTGGTGTACCTGGCAGGTTAGTGCCGAGCTCATGGTATGGAGGCAAAGAGTACTTAGCACCATAAGCAGAGGTTGCTGTCATCATTGTAGCCACCAGCAAATGTCACTGGTGATACGGGACAAGTGCCCATCATCTTCATACTGGGACCTACTAACTTCCTTCTCCCCAGGAGCAAGTTAGGAATGTAATAGGTGAGAACTGCAAGGTGCTTGGGGTTAGGGGCAGGGCGGGGTGCAGGAGGACATAGCAAAGGGTTCTAGCTGTAACCAGACTGCAAATGGTGTCCTGAGGCTCTGCTCCCTCTTCCTCCTCCAACCGCCCTCATGCATGCGGTGAATCAGAGCAGGAGGGAGCTGTTGGCCCCTTGGTCATGCTGTGAGTATCCCATGGGGAAAGGGGAAGTGGAGAGGGAAGGGAAAAGTAAGACATTCCGGCCTTGGGAGGCAGCAGCAGCTGCAGCCGGCTGCTTCTGCCCCACAATCCCTGATGAAGTTGGGGGCCAGGGGGCCAGGCTGGCTGCAGAATGTTCTGAGGCCTCCTCCCCAAAGCTACACAGCAACAGAGAGAAAGATCTGGAATGAGTGCTTGTAAAAACTATAGTCCCTCCCGTATGGTGCTCTGCCTGGTGGTCTCAGGAGCCCTGACCCACTCTGAATAAAGACACTGGAGTCCCCACTTGGAGGAAATAATCAGTGTCAAAAGCAGGTGCTGTCTGTTTTGAGATGAAGGTCTGTCTGGTCAAAGGGTTCTTTTGAAAACCTCTCCAGTGGTTCACTTTGTCAGTTTTCCAGAAAGCTGTGGAAACATTCAGGATGTGATCTTTGAAGTCACGGGTATAAATGGAAAAGATAAGCAGTTTCCTAGGGCGGGGGAAGGAGGTGTCCTTAGGGGAGGCATGGGGTACTGTCCAGGCCTGTCCTCTCCAGGGCTGGTCCGGGGCCCCTCCCTCCAGCTGGTCTCTATTCTCCCTCCTTCCCCCTTCAGGATGTGAAGATCTTCCGAGCCCTGATCCTGGGGGAGCTGGAGAAGGGGCAGAGTCAGTTCCAGGCGCTGTGCTTTGTCACCCGGCTGCACCACAATGAGATCATCCCCAGTGATGCTATGGCCAAGCTCCGGCAGGTGAGCACCCACCCCAGGCTTGCCTGGCCAGGCCCTGACCCCGAGCCCCCACCCTGCGGTCGCCCTGTCCTCATTCCAACTTGGCCTCCCTTCCCCCCTGTTCTTCCTCTCACACGGACTTAACAGTGCTGATCCCCTGGTTTTGCCCCAGGCCAGACTGGCTACAGAGCCCCAGATCTCTCAACTGTACTGAGCCCAAACTCTCAGGTCACCAGGAGCTGCTGACCAGGTCCACCTCTTTTTGGGTGGAGGTAGAGGCATGGGCCCTGAAAAGGGATTGAACACCCCCCCATGTCCCTCATTAACTAGTGATACTGAACAGATGCCTTTAACACTTCAGTGTCCTCGTTGAGGGCGCAGGTTCGAATCAGAGCTCCCTGGAGTACCACCAGCTCTCCATAGCCCACCTAGGCTGACTTGCGAAGCAGGCCTTCCTTGTGGCATCTTCCCCTGCGGGGCCCGTAACCTTTGCCTGCCCTTCCTGGAAAGACTTAGTCCCTTGGATTCAGAAAGCACAAGACCCCCACTATCGTGTACCCTAGAACGGCTTGCCTAGCCTACCTACTCCTGTCTCCCAGCTGCGCCTTGAACTTACCAGCAGGCTCTAGAAGTTAGTTCCACATACAGTCCACTCTGAGTAAAAGCCAGAAAGGCCTTAACTGCCCCTGGGGCATCAGTTTCTCAGGGGTTGGGGCTGGGTGCCCCTCCACTGCCTTGGGCTCCATGAGCCTGGGATCGAGGAGGGCATGGTAGGAGATTTTCCTACCGTCTCGCACCTACAGAAAAACCCCCGCGCGGTGAGGCAGGCTGAAGAAGTGCGGGGTCTGGAACAGCTCCACATGGACGTCGCCGTGAACTTCAGCCAGGGGGGCCTGCTGAGTCCTCATCTCCACAATGTCTGCGCTGAGGCCACTGACGCCATCTACACCCGCCAGGAAGATGTCCAGTTCTGGACGGAGCGAGGTCAGCTGGGGGCTGCCCTCAGTGGGAAGAGGGAGAAACACTTGACCGAGTGATTGTTGCATTCGGTAGAGCGTTACTGAGTCCCTTCAGGGATAGACCATACAGACACACCCAGTGTGGGCGACTTGTTGCTGTAGTAGTTAGGTCTGCTCAGCACCAGTTACGTGTGAGCATGCGGTCATCAGTGACAGGCATTCGCAGGCTGTGACATGGCCGGAAGACTTCTGGAGGAGGTGGTTTCTGTGCAGCTAGGATAAGAAGCCAGCCTGCCAGGTCCCATGAAAGGAGACTTCTCAACATTCTTGTCACTACCCATAGTGAGGAGACAGATTTCCTGCTATCATGCCTGCTGGTGCCTCTCAGAAGTTTCAACATCCCTGGTGCCAGCGTTGCTCCCAGAACCCTCAGGGTCTCCTCCCAGCTCTGCAGGGCCCCTCTGCCACTCTGCTGGCCCTTCTCCAGGTCCCTTTGCCAGGTCCTGTGTGTAGAAGGGACAGGGACATTCACGCTGCTTGCTCCTGGGCCTTCTGCTCAGTCAGCTGCTGAACTTGGTGGCCATGCCTGTGACACACCTGTCCCCAGCTGACCGCACTCTAAATGAAGGTACTGACCGACCCTAGCACCCCCAGAGGCCGCTCCTTCCCGTGGTCCACTAAGCAAAGCCCGGGCCAGGCCGTGTCACCTGGCCCAGGCTTCCTCATGTTCTTCTCATATCCAAACCCCCGGCGTCTGTTGTCCCATCCCTATCCTGCCCACCCAGGTGACATCCTTCAGGTAGTTTTACTTAAAGACTAGTGGGCTCGTGACCTAGTGTAAGCTAAGAGACCAGACAGGCCTGATCCCACCGTTCCATTGTATGACCCCAGGGCAGCCTTGGGAAGGGTGACAGGAGAGAAGGCTGTCCCGGGCTATGGAGAGATGTTCTTACCTTCCTCATGCTTGTCTCTTCCCCCAGGCGTGGACAGTTCCGTGTTCGAGGCCCTGCCCAAGGAACAGACGGAGTTGCCTCGCTGTGCGCAAGTGAGAGACCGAGGAAAGCCCTGCGCCTGCCGCTACAGTCTGAGCCTGGCCTGGTATCCTTGCTTGCTCAAGTACTGCCACAGCCGCGACCGGCCGGCACCCTACAAGTGTGGCATCCGGAGCTGCAGGAAAAACTACAGCTTTGACTTCTATGTACCTCAGAAGCAGCTGTGCCTCTGGGATGAGGACCCCTGACTGGGGGGAGCAAAGAACCGCTCGGACCCGCAAGTTCTTCACTGGCCACCAGAGGGCGTGGCAACCCTATCTGGGGCCTCAGGTCCTTTCCTGTGCCTCTGATGCTGAAGCCGTGACCTCATCTGCATGACTGTGAAAGGGTGTCACCCAGCAGGGCCAAGCTTGGGCAGCCCCAATGCCTACCCGTGCCCATCTGGGGGACGGAGGGGGGTAAACCATTCTCCAGACTAGTGCCCTCCCTCTTCACGTCCCCCGAAACGTCCCACGTACGTGTAATGAAAATGAACCGGCCTGGGCTTCTTTCGTGGGACTTGTTCCAGGGGTGTGTTCCTGCATCACACCTTCCCACCAGCAAGGGGACCACTGACCAGGGAGGGACTTCTGGGGACTCATGCCCCAGCTCCCGTGTCTGAAGTGCCTTTTCTGCCCCCGGGGGCAATGGAGAACAGGGAGACCGCTGCCCCTGAGACTGCCACATGTGCCTTTCCTGGGACCCAACTTGGATTCGTCAGCACACACCAATTCTTCCTCCCGTTGGACTGGAGAAGGATTTTGGCAAGGCTCTGTTGGACTGGAGAAGGATTTTGGCAAGGCTCTGGGGCAGGAAGGGAGTATGAAGTACAAGGAAAACTTGAATTCCAGATTTTTAATACAAAATATTTATCATTTGTACAAGAAATAAAAGTTTTCTCTCACCTAATGGCACTAGCGTGGAAGTTTGTCCAATGCTGCCACCTAGTGTCAAAAATGTACCTCTACACAATTAGTGCCAGTCTGGGCAAAGCAACTTTTTGTTGTTGTTGTTTTGTTTTGTTTTTCGAGACAGGGTTTCTCTGTATTGTTTTGGAGGCTGTCCTGAAACTAGCTCTGGGAGCCAGGAAGAGGACCCAAGTTCAATTCCTAGCACCTTCGAGGGTGGGGAAGCTCACAGACACCTGTAACTCCAGCATGGTGTGGATCTGCTACTCTTTTATGGCCTCCCAGTGCTCCCACACATTAAAAACAACCTTGGGGCTAGAGCAGTGGTTCTCAACCTTCCTAATGCTGCACAGTTCCTCATGGTGTGGTGACCCAACCACAAAATTATTCTCATTGCTACTTCTTAGCTGTAATTTTGCTACTCTTACAAATTGTTATATAAATGTCTGTGTTTTCTGATGGTCTTAGGCAACCACACACACACACACACACACACACACACACACACACACACACACACACACAGGGTCACAACCCACATGTTGCAAGCCGCTGGACTGCAAGATGGCTCAGTGATTAAGAGCACTGGCTCCTGCTCTTCCAGAGGACTCGTGTTCTACTCTCAGGACCCACATGGCAAATTTGTTGCGCTCTTCTGGTCTCCAAGGATACTGCATGCATGCGATACTCAGGCAAAACAATACAAATAAAAATAAGCTCTCTCTACATATAATATTCTCTGTGATAAGGACTGAAGATGTAGCTCAGTCATAGAGCGTTTGCTCAGCATGGGCAAGGCCCTGGCCTCAATGTCCTGCACAGCAGCAAGCAAAGGAAAACATAAAAGCAACAGGGCAGGACTGATGTTGAAGCAGATAGCCGGCATTCATATCCCGGCCCTCACCAGAAGTCGTGGTGCTCACCTGTAGTGCCAGAACCCAGGAAGTAGAGGCAGAGGGTCTATGTAATGAAACATCGTACTGCATAGCGGATTGCAGGCTGCTGGACTTATTTGGGAAGAATTTAGAGAAGAGGTGGGTGTGAGATGAGGCTCCCGGACAGTGACATTTTAGTGAGGTGAAGGCAGCAGGGGTTTGTGGGTAATAAAGTCTCTGGTTCTACAGAGGACCCAGCTCTCAGGAGAGAGGAGACAGGTTCAAAGCCTCCTTCAGAGGCCTAGGGGAAGGAAGCAGGGTTCAGGCAGTCCCATCTACCCAGTGCCTCCAGAACACACTGCATGTAGGACAGAGGGAGCGTCTGGGCCAGAGCGAGCATCTGCTGAGAGCCAGGTCAAGGGCAGCGTCTGTGGGAGACAGACTTCTCAGGTAACTGCCTTCACTCTAAGTCCGTCTTTAAGGGCCCACTGCTATCTTGCCAGTAGACAAGGACTGGGGTGCATCACCCTTTTCTCTTTCTCCCTCTTGTCTGATTGAGGCCTCAGCTATGATCCCCAGTCTCTGGTTTGGGTAGAGGAGGGATACTTGGAGAAGGCTTACCCTTTTCCAGTGGAGTCCCTTACTTCCTTCATTCTTCCTACAGACTTCAAAACATCCAGAAACATTACTAAAACCTAAATCACACATAAAACCCCACACATTAATAGTGGGAGACTTCAACACTCCATTTTCACCACTGGACAGGTTTAACAAACAGAAACTTAACACAGAAATAAAGGAAATAGCAGAAGTTATGACTCAGATGAGCTTAACAGACATCTATAGAACATTCCACCCAAACACAAAAGAATATACCTTCTTCTCAGCACCTCATGAAACCTTCTCTAAAACTGACCACATACTTGGTAACAAAACAAATATCAACAGATATTTTTTTTAATGGAATAACTCTCTGTATCTTCTGAGATCACCATGACTTAAAGTTAGAATTCAACAACACTAATTGCAGAAAACCCACAAACTCATGGAAACTGAATCACCAATGTGTCAAGGGAGAAATAAAAAAGAAATTAGAGACTTCCTAAAATTCAATAAAAAATGACTGCACAACATACGTAAATTTATGGGACACAATGAAAGCAGTACTAAAAGGAAAATCCATAGCACTAAATCCCACACTAACGAACTAACAGAACAACTGAAATTTTAGAACAAAAAGAAGCAAACTTACCCAGGTGGAGTAGATGGCTAGAAATAATCAAATTGAGGGTTGAAATCAATAAAATACAAACAGAAAAACACTCGGGAGGCAGAGGCAGGCAGGATCTCTGTGAGTTTGAGGCCAGCCTGGTCTTCAAAGAATTCCAGGACAGTCTCCAAACCTACAGAGAAACCCTGTCTCAAAAAACAAAACAAAACAAAATCAGTAAGCATTGGTTCTTTGAAAAAAAAAAATCAAGATAGGCAAACTCTTATCCGAACTAACCAAAAGGCAGAGAGAGAATATCCAAATTAACAAAATCAAAAATGAAAAGGGGGACATAACAACAGACACTGAAGAAATCCAGAGAATCATCAGGTCATACTTCAAAAAAGTGTACTCCACTAAACTGGAAAATTTAAAGGAAATGGACAATTTCCGGGACACCAAAATTAAATCAAGATCAGATAAACAAACTAAATAGACCAATTACTCCTATGGAAATAGAAATAGTTATCAAAAGTCTCCCAACAAAAAACAACTCAGAGATGATGGTTTCAGAGCAGAATTCTACCAGAATTTCAAAGAAGAACTAATGCCAATACTTCTCAAATTCTTCCACACATTAGAAACAGAAGGAACATTGCCAGACTCTTCTTAAGAGGCTACAGATAGGCAGAGGCAGGCGGATCTCTGTGAGTTCGAGGCCAGCCTGGTCTACAAGAGCTAGTTCCAGGACAGCCTCCAAAGCCACAGAGAAACCCTGTCTCGAAAAACAAAAAAAAAAAACAAAAAAAAAAAAAAAAGAGGCTACAGATACACTGATTCCCAAACCACACAAAGCTGCAACTAAGAAAGAGAATTACAGTGGGGGGTGGGGGAGGAGGGAAGGGAGAGAGAGCTGGGATGGACATGTGAAGCAAGCTTGTTTCTAATTTAAATTTTTAAGAATTGAGAAGAAACAACCAAAAACAAAAGAAAGGAAGAAAGAAAGGAAGGAAGGAGGGAAGAAAGAAAGAAAGAAAGAAAGAAAGAAAGAAAGAAAGAAAGAAAGAAAGAAAGAAAGAAGGAAAGGATTACACACCAATCTCCCTGGTGAACATTGATGCAGAAATACTCAATAAAATACTGGCAAACTGAGCCAGGTTGTGGTGTGGCTCACCTTTAATCCAGGACTTGGAGGGCAGAGGCAGGTGGATCTCTGTGAGTTCGAGGCCAGTCTGGTCTACAGAGTGAGTTCCAGGACAGATCCAAAGCCACAGAGAACCCTGTCTCAGAAAAAAAACAACAACAACAACAACAAAAAAGCTTGGTATTGGCATAAAAACAGACAGGGGGACCAATCGAATTGAATTGAAGACCCCAATATCAACACCTGATTTTTGACAAAGAAGCTAAAACTATAAAATGGAGAAAAGAAAGCATGTTCAACAAACGGTGCTGACATAAATGGATGTTGACATGTAGAAGAATGCAAATAGATCCATATCAGTCCAAATGGATCAAAGACCTCAACATAAAACCAAGCACACTGAACTTCATAGAAGAGGAAGTGGGAAGTAGTCTCTAACACATTGGCACAGGAGATCACTTCTTAAATATAACACCAGTAGCACAGATACTGAGAGCAACAATGAGTAAATGGGATCTCCTGAAACTGAGAAGCTTCTGTACGGCAAATGCTGTAGTCAACAAGACAAAACAGTAGACTACAGAATGGGAAAAGATCTTTACCAAGCCTACATCTGACAGAGGGCTGATCTCCAAAATATGCAAAGAACTCAAGAAGCTAGACATTAAAAGACCAAATAATCCAATTTAAAATGAAGGACAGATCTAAACAAAGAACTATCAACAGAGGAATCTCAAATGGCTAAAAAAACACTTAAGGAAATGCTCAACATCCTCAGCCATCAGAGAAATGCAGATCAAAACAACTCCGAGATAACATCTTATATCAGATGACTCATCTCAGATGACTAATATCAAAAACTTTGATGACAGCTTATGCTGGAGAGGATGTGGAGTAAGGGGAACACTCCTCCACTGCTGGTGGGAGTGCAAACTTGTGTAGCTGCTTTGGAATTCAGTATGGTGGTTTCTCAGGAAAATGGGAATTAATCTACCACAAGACCCAGCAATATCACTTTTGGGCATATACCCAAAGGATGCTCAATCATATCACAAGGACATTTGCTCAATTATGTTCATAGCAGCATTATTTGTAATAGCCAGAAACTGGAAGCAACCTAGATGTCCCTCAACTGAAAAATGGATAGAGAAAACTGCGATACATTTACTAATGGAGTACTCATCCATAAAAAACAATGACATCTTGAAATTTGCAGGCAAATGGACAGAATTAGAAAAAAACATCCTGAGTGAGGTAACCCAAACCCAGAAAGACAAATATAATATGTTCTCACTCTTAAGTGCATATTATTGGGGAGGGCGGGGAAGGAGGGGAAGGAGAGGGAGCTGGGATTGACATGTGAAACAAGATTGTTTCTAACCTAAAAAAAAAAAAAAGTGGATATTAGACATAAAGCAAAAGACAACCAGCCTACAGGTCACAACCCCAGAGAACCTAGGCAACAAAGAGGACCCTAAGAGAGATATACACGGATCTGCCTAGGAATGGGAAAAAGACAGATCTCCTGAGTAAATTGGGAGTGCAGGGGACATGGGGGAGGGTGGAAAGGGAAAGGGGAGGAGGGAAGGGACATGGGGGAAAATGTATAGTTCAATAAAAACAAGGTAAAAAAAATCACACACACAAAGAGTTGCTGTGGTCATGGTGACTTTTCAAAGCAAAAGAACAGTGACTAAGACAATGGGGTTTATCTGACTGGCCAACTTGAACCTTCAGGAACCTAGCTCCTGGGGCTGGAGAGATGGCTCAGT